AATAAGCAGAGATGGGACTGGATGAGGCAAGTGAGATGTTCATCTCTGCAACAGATTTTAAGGCAGCTCATTTCTTAGACAAAGGAACCAAAAATTATTGTGTTAGGCAGGAATCAACAGACTAGTGAGAATATTTGTGAAAGTGGTAGAATCCTACAAATATTCAAAAAGTAGAGTCTACTTCTGTGCATAACAGAACACAACGAACAGAGAGAAAAGTTAACCTATGGAATGGTAGAAAATATTTCTTGATCACATATTTGATAAGAGATTAATATCCAGAATATATAAAGAACTCCTACAACTCAACAGCAAGAATACAAACACCCCAATTTAAAAATGAACAAAGGACTTGAATAGACATTTCTCCAAAGAATATATACAAATGGCCAACAAGCACATGAAAAGATGCTCAACATCACTAATTTTTTTTTTGAAGTGAAGTCTCACTCTGTCACCCAGGCTGGAGTGCAGTGGCTTGCTCACAGCTACCCCAGAGTTGACTTACTGGGCTCCAGTGATCCTTCTGCCTCAGCCTTTCGAGTAGCCGGAACTACAGGTGCATGCTACCATGCCTGGCTAATTTTTGATTTACTGTAAAGACGAGGTCTCGCCAGGCTATCTGAGCTAGTCTCAAACCCGTGGGCTCAGGCAATCCACTTGCCTTGGCCTCCCAACATGCTGGGATTACAGGCTGAGCTACCAAGCCTGGCCTATCATTACTAATTATTAATATTAGGGAAATGCAAATCAAAACCACAGTGAGTTTCTGGGGTCATTAAAATGACTGATTAAACAATATCAACAAACAGAAAATAACAAGTGTTGCTGAGAATATAGGGAAGTTGGAACCCTGGTACACTGTTGGTAGAATGTAAAATGGTACAGCTGCTGTGGAAAACAGTATGACTATCCCTAGAATAATTTTTTTTAGAGTTGGGGTCTCACTCTGTTGCCCATGCTGGAGTGCAGTGGCATGCTCACAGCTCACTGCCACCTTGACCTCTGGGCTCAGGGAATTCTTTTGCTTCAGCCTTCCGAGTAGCTGGGACCCCACTTCCTAATAGCACCACGTTGGGAGTTAGGGACTCAACATACGAATTTTAAGAGGACACAAACATTCAGACCATAGCCATAATCCTCATGCTAGTAATGTTCAAAGTACTCAGTGGCACTAGTAAGACCCCAGAAACTCCAGTAATCATGCTACAATATATATGGATCCTGTTATAGCAGCGTGCACTACCATGTACCGCTAATTTTTTGATTTTGTGTAGAGTTGAGGTCTCGCTATACCGCCTAGGCTGGTCTTGAACTGCTGGGTTCAAGCAATCCTTCCGTCTTGGCCTCTCAAAGTGCTGGGATTACAGGTGTGAGCCACAGTGCCTGGTCTGAGAATAATTAAATATAGACTTGCCACCTGATCCAGCAATTCCACTTCTGGGTATTTGCCCACACGAATTGAAAGCAGAGACTCAAACAGGTATTTGCACATCCACATTTATGGCAGCATTGTTCACAACAGCCCAAAAGTGGAAGCAACCCAGTGTCCATGGACAGATGAATGGATCAATAAAATGTGGTCTATACATCTGAAAATATTATTCAACCTTAAAAAAGGAAGGAAGTTCTGACACGGCCTATGACATGGCTGAACTTTGAGGACATTATGTTAGGTGAAATAAGCCTAACAGGACAAATAATGATTCCACTATCTGAGGTACCTGAAGGAGTGAATTCACAAAGACAGAAAAAATGGCGGTTGCCAAGGGCTGGTGGGAGGGGGAATAGGAAATTTTTTCCTAATGGGTACAGAGTTTCCGTTTGGGAGGATAAAAACGTTCTGGAGGTGGAGTGTAGTGATCATTGTACAACAAAGTGAATGTTCTTGATGCCATAGAGCTGTACACTAAGCTTTATGTTATGTGTATTTTACCAAAATTTGAAAATTAGGGTCTAGTTTTTCAGCTTGGCTTGAACCTTTGGGGAATAAAAGAAAAGATATCAAGGTTTTGTTTCTATAAACCTATTCTTTAATTCAAATAAAAACAACAATAAGCCGGGCTCGGTGGCTCAGCCTGTAATCCCGCACTTTGGGAGGTTGAGGTGAATGGATTGCCTGAGCCCGCGGGTTCAATACCCGCCTGGGCAACTTGGCGAGACCTCATCTCCACAATAAATCAAAAAATTAGCCAGGCATGGTAGTACACACCTGTAGTTCCAGCTACTTGGAAGGCTGAGGCGGAATCATTGCTGGAGCCCAGCAGGTCGAGGCTGCAGTGGCCGGGAGCGTGCCACTGCACTCCAGTCTGGACGACAGTGAGACTCCAACTCAAGACAACAACAACAACAACAATAATAATACTAACATTACATCGGCACTTTGTATTTTTACCTCTATAACCTCATTTGATCCTCACTGGAGCCCAGGAGACTGAAGCCCAGAGCAGTTATGTGGCTTGTTTCGGGTCCCTCCATGGCAGATGGGACTCTGAGTATTCTGACTCTGTCTCCAATGCTGCCCCACCTCCTCGTCCCAACAGGCTAGTCACATTCAAGGATCCTGACCTTGGCCTTCCGACTGTGGATTCTCAGGGCCACAGTCACGCTGGCATCTTTTCACCCTCCTCTGCCTCGGTCTGCCTGTAGGCTCAGCCTCCTCCGACTGCCCTCCTTTTGGGAGTATCTGAAGGTCACATACCCTTCTCATTTGTGCTTCTGTAAGGGAATCGTGGGGGCATCCCTCTCTTTTTGTTGTATAAGCCCTTTCTACTCCCAGACAGGCTGATAGACCATAAATAAGGGGGGCAGGCTAGATTTTAAGTGCTCCAAAGAGATTCATAAAAAATTACTGTGGCTTCATTTGCAAAGCTCTGCTGTGGCATTCCCAATGACCTGAACACTGAGAGGCACTCTTGAAATAAATCTGTCAAGTCGCCTGCACACCCAGATGTCGAGGTCAGGGAACTAATCAGGAAGTTTTCAGAATTTTTTCCTAGAATTAATCACAAACTCAGTGAAATAACTGATGAAAAAGATTTATTTGGATGTCTATTCCCCTGGGGTCGCCGAAGGGTTACTTTATGTGATAAGCTGTGCTTTCCAGCCAAGCCCATCTCCCGTCCTCTTCCTTATATGATCCTTCAAACTGAGGAGGCTGGCTTGTCATTTATGATAGCTGCTGAAATCTTAATGCCAGGCCCAGAGATGTATCCTGTTAAATAATTCCTTGCATGTTTTGCAATGTGGGAGAGTAAACTCTGTCGGGAGAGCTGGACTTCTGTCCACTTGGTAACAACAAAGGGAAATGGTTGAAGCCAAAGAGGAACTGTAGATCAAAGACTAAGAAACTTCAGTTAGACAGGAGTGAGCTAGTGATCTGTTGCACAGAATGGTGACTATAATGAATAATAATACAATGTATATTTCAAAATTGCTAAAAGAGTAGATTTTAAATGTTTTTGCCACAAAAATGATAAATAGATGAAGTGATGAATTTGTTAATTAGCTTGATTTAATAATCCTACAACATAAACATTATCAAAACATTACATTGTATCCCATAAATACATAATATATACAATTATTATTAGTCAAAGTGAAATTTTAAAAAACAAAGATACTGATAAAGAAGAACAAAGTCAACCCAAAGCAAGCAGATAGAAGGAAATCATAAATTTAACAACAAAAATCAATGAATTAGAAAAACAAAGGAGAAAAATCAAGGAAAAGGTGAGGGTAGTTTGACAAAATCAACAGAATTGACAAAACTCTATCAAGAAGAAAAGTTAGAAGACACAAATTGCCAGTATCTGGAACGAAACAGGCATATCACTACAGACATCAAAAGGATAGTAAGGGAATAATATGAACAACTCTACACAAATAAATGTAACAACTTAGATGAAATGGATCAATTAATTCATTGAAAACCACAAGCTACCATAATTCACACAATATGAAATAGATAATTTGAAAAACCTTGTAACTTTTAAGATAATTGAGTCCGTAATTTTAAGAATTCCCAAAACAAAATCTCCAAGGCCAGATGGTTTTTGCTGGAGAATTCTACCAAATGTTTAAAGAATTAACACCATTTCTATACAATCTCTTTTAGAAAATAAAAAAGCAGGGAACATTGATTTGTATGAAAATAGTATTATCATGCTACCAAAACCAGACAAAAACAGGCTGGCATTGAACACCTAGCCTCAAGCAATCCTCTTGCTTCAGCCTCCCAAGTAGCTGGGATTACTGGTGGTATGTGCCACTGCACTTGACTAGAACTTATTATTTTAAATGCACTTTCCTCTCAGGCACTGTTAACTCTGTCCTCTTCTCTTGGTATTCTCTCTTCATCTAATGCTGCTTTTAAAAATACTTGAAATGCACTTCTTTCCTCTCAGAGTCTTTAATCTTCCAAACTGTTTTTATGTATTCAACATTGATTGAATACTTATAACTTGCTGGCATTGTCAATGCTGTGATGATAAGATGTAACTGTAACTGAATAAATAGGTCTCCAGTAGCAGTGGGGACAGGAAAACTGGACAAGTCCTCTGGAATAAAACTGAAGTTGGGTCTTGATGGATGAGTAGGAGTTTGATAGGCCATGAAGTGAGACAGGAAGTTTCTGACCACGGCAGGAGAATGAGCCAAGGCCAGAGCTATGATAACTCATCTCCAGGCATAAATCAATTTGGGTGATTTTCAGTTTATTTACTTTTACTTCATTCTGTAATCCATCTGTGTTACTGTAACTTAGAACTTGGGTTTCTTCAGAGTACTTTTTGTTTTCCCACTACTTCTAATTCGAAGGAATTCGAAGTGATTCCTGATGGCCTGGGTCAATAGAAATCATTAATGCTATTGCTTAAGGATAACTGAAACCGGATGCTTTGAACTGTGCCATTTTCATGTGTTCGTCATTGTGTCGCTCGAGCATCCCCACGAAGGCCAGAGCCGCGTTAACGGTGAGGTCTGTCTGTTCCTCTGTCTAGATTAAGTTTGACAGTGTGGAGGTGTGCGTCTGCTGCGAGCTGCAGCACCAGTCATCCGGCTGCAGCAACCTCGGCGAGACGCTGAAGCTGAACCCGCTGCAGGAGAACTGCAACGCTGTGCGGCTGACCTTGAAGGTGACCCCGCCGGGCGCTGCTCATGCATGCACTTCATCCCATGCCTCAAAGACATTTTGGGAAGGCTCATTAACATATAGATTCCTTTCAACTCTCAGTTCATGGGGGTAGGTTCAGTGCAAGAAAGAGAACATTCTGTTTCCAGAGAACATTTTAAAGGATTATTGATTTTCATTTGGAAGGTGTTGTTTCCTGGATCTTGGTGTCCATTTTTACCATTTCACTGTTCTAGCTCTGACAAATGCAAAGTGGAAAATGAACACTTGAGAGGGGTCTTTACAAATGATGATGTGATGCTTTCCACTGCTTTTCCGACATGATTGGCTGTTATAGCATCAGTGAACAGATGGGCATTTACTTTGCTTTTTCAAAAGATATTTGGAGAAAGAAATCTCACAATCTCCCATGGCATTCTATTCTAATGTATAGCATATGATCTTTTTAAAAAAGGACATGGAAATTTTGTTTATATTATTTCTTTTTTTTCCTTCCTATAAGTTTTTTTTTTAATTCTAAAATTGACTGCGTCAAAGTACATATGAAAGTAAACCCAATTCTTCTCTATCCCCTGAATGAAGCTGTGCCCAAATGATTTAAAAAGATGTGGTATGAAAAACATGGAACTAACGGTACTACCCATCAGAAGTGGATTGGATAAAAAAAATGGTGGTACATATACATGATAGAATATTATGCAGACATAAAGAAGTACACAGTTATGGATTTTGCAGCAACTTGGATGGATTTAGAGTTTATCATACTCAGTGATCTATCCCAGAAACAAACAACCTGAATACCACACATTCTCACTCATAAGTGGGTCCTGAACACTTATCACATCACTAGAAAAAGATTGGCAGTAGCAGGACACAGCTGGGGACAGGGGGCGGGGGGGAGGCATAATATCACTAAGGGTACCTGATCTTAAACGAGGGGAAATGAGGGCCAGTGGGAGGCCCAAACTTCACCTGTACATAGACCACTTCTGTCTCTAATCCTGACTTGTACCCTACATTTTTAAAATTAAATTAAATGCTAAAAAAAAAAGATGTAGCAGGTCAAAGGACCTCTTAGTTAGTGGTAAAATTGTATTTACAGTATGTGGGGAGCTCTAGTATGTTATAGGGAACACAGTGTGTAGGGGAGTGGAGGCTGCAAAGAGAGCCTCCTCGAATCTGGGTAGAAAGGAGAGAAGTGCCCCCCGGCATTGAGTGCCTGTGCTCTTTCAGTCTTTCATGGACGGTCACCAGTCGGCAGAGAAGCAGACGTGTACAGAGAGAGATCACACCTATCCATATGGTAGGACGGGACCTGCTCACAGCACATGCCCTGTTTCTCATGGAGGATGGCCCAAGTGCAGAGGTCCCAGCAGCCCACCAGAGTAACAAATCCAGCAGGGTTGGAGAAACCCAGAGCTGGAACACCCCTGGGCCCATCCTTTCCTGGTCCCAGGTATTTCTTGCTATCCCACATTACGTACAGCCACGTTTCTCCTCACTGCATCCTGGGCGAGCTCAGGTCAGTGCTGAGGTTTGCCGTGTCCTTTCACAGCCCTCGTGGGAGGGGACGTGGGTGGCCACTGCTCGCTCTGAGATATCACTCTGACAACTCCTAAGTCACTTTTTCAGCCTGGGTGAGTTTTCTTTTCACATTTAAAAAACATAAGAGCCGGGCTCGGTGGCTCATCCTGTAACCCCGCGCCTTTGGGAGGCTGAGGTGAGTGGATTGCCTGAGCCCGCAGGTTCGAGACCCGCCTGGGCAGCGAGACCCCATCTCTACAATAAATCAAAAAAGCAGCCGGGCGTGGTAGCGCATGCCTGTAATTCCAGCTACTTGGAAGACTGAGGCGGAAGGATCGCTGGAGCCCAGCAGGTCGAGGCTGTGGTGGCCGGGAGCGGCCACTGCACTCCAGTCTGGGCAACAGAGTGAGACTCCAACTCAAAAAATAAAAATAAAAAAACCAAAAAAAACTTAATAAGACAATAGAGAATTTTAATTACAATACCTTCCTCTACTCCCTGGGAAAGCTGACAAATCCCAGGGGAAATCTTTTAGCTCTGGAGGCCACTTGAGTGTGGGGATGCAGCCTGTAGGGTACCTCTGACTCTTCTGTTGTTGGCTTGAGGTGTTCTGCTGCTCCCTTAAAGCCTTGGGGTTCCCCTTGATGCCTTTACTCAGTGGGACCCACAACCCTGTTTTCATGACTCTCCAGCCCCCGAGGAGGTGACTGTGGCTTGAAAAGTAGTGCTGGTATTGAAAAAATAACACTGTCTCAGGGGATATAGACTCAGGTCTAGAGGGGCGGGAAGACCTTGCAGTCTTACCCTTATTCGCTGTTCTAGTACCAGGACAAGAAATCTCCTTGGAATGGGGTGACCAAATGGAAAAGAGTGAAGGGTCCTGAAGTCAAGAACTTCAAGGGATGGCTGTTGAATGGCTCATCCTCCTGGATACTCAGATTGCCCAGGACATTGGTAAGAGCTGAAGGCAAGAGAAAGACTTTACCAAACTTCTCAATGAGTTTGTGTGAACAACTTAATTAGAGGTAGGGACTCTCAGATCTGGTGACATGAGGCTCTAAGGAGGCAGGAGTTCTGATTGAGGTGGGAAGCCAGTGGCCTGGAAGTAGCCACAGTGGCTCAGGTACTAGAAGAGGCAGCCTGCTTCACCTGAGGGCCTGTACAGGGAGCAATGACCTTGTGGCGGGAGAGGGCTGAGTTTCTTCTGAGATCAAGAAGACCAGAGACTATTAGAAGTATCTGTTTATTGCTGTCCTTCAACTTTGCTGTTTTCCAAAATGGTTTTATCCTAGGTCCTTTGCATTATCATGTAAATGTTAGGATCAGTTTGTCAACTTCTACTACAATCCTTCTGGAATTTTTTTTTTAAACTTCTCCTTCCTTTTATTAAAAAATCTTTTTTAAAATTTGTATTATAAAGACATGGGGTACATTTCAGGGTTAGATATATAAACATTGATCATGCAGGTACCCTAGTTGATGAGGTATGCCCCTCCCTCCCCTAGCAGTTTCCCACTACTGCCAATCGCTTTCTTATCCTGCTGGAATTTTTAATGAGATTGCATGGAATCCATATATCTCACTGAAGAAAATTAAGTTATTCATAGTATAGCCGTCTATTTATTTAGTCTTATTTAATTTCACCAGTGTTTTTTAAATCAGTCTTGTGTAGTCTTTAGAATATAGATCTAACATTTTGTAATATTTATACATAAAGTTTCTCACATGTATTGATGTTATATTAATGGTGCTTTAAAACTGTCTCTTATCCGTTGTTAGTGTATAGAAATTTGATTTTTTGTTACCAACCTTGTATCCTGTGATCTTACTAAACTCGCTTAATAGTTCTAGTAGGCCCTGTTATAAAGTGGATTTTCTTATGTAGACAATCTTGTGATATGCAAAAAGAAGCAATTCTCCATTTTATACTAGTCAAGATTCTTCAGAGAGACAGAACCAATAGGAGAGAGAGAGACAGAGATGGAGATGGAGACAGAGACAGAGACAAAGACAGAGACAGAGACAGAGACAGAGATGGAGATATATGAGAGGCGGCTCATGTGATTATAGAGATGAAGTCCCACCATAGTCCATCTACAAGCTGGAGACCACTGAATGCCAGGAGTCACAGTCAGTCCAAGTCCAAAATCCTCAGAACCAGGGAAGCCTCTGGTGTAACTCTCAGTCCAAGGCCAAGAATCTGAGAACCTGGGGGGTCAGGGTGATGTGCTTGTGTAAGTTCTGGAGTCCCAGGGCCAGACATCCTATTCTTATGTCCAAGGGCAGGAGAAGAGAATCTCAGTTCCAGGAGAGACAGAGAGAAATAAGTAATTCACCTTTCCTATGCCTCTTTGTTCTATCCAAATCCGCAGCCAATCTACACTGAGAGCAGAGACTCCCCCCTCAGTTCACTAATTCACAAACCAGTCTCTTCTGGAAACATGCTCACAGACACACCCAGAAATAGCGCTTTACCGGTTCTCTGTGCATTCTTAATCCAGTCAAATTGACACCTAAAATTAACCACCACACATTCCAATCTGGATGCCTCTTCTTTCTTTTCCTTTCCTGACTGCACTGCCTAAAACCTCCAGAACAGGGTTGAGGAGAAGTGGCAAAAGCAGCTGTCCTTACCTTGCTCCTGATTTTAGAGATTAGGTGTAATATCAGCTCTAAGTTTTCCATAGCTGTTCATTATCAGGTTATAGAAGTTCCTTCCTATTCCTAGCTTGCAGAGAGTTGTTTTGTTGTTGTTGTTGTTGTTTTTACCATGAGTGGTTGTTGAATTTTGTCAAAGTCTTTTTCTGCATCTGCTTAGATGTCCCTATACTTGTCTTCTTGAGTCTGCTCACATGGTGAGTAACCTTGACTGACTTTTGAGTGGTGAGCCTAGCCTTGCATTCCCAAGATGAACCCCACTTGGTCATGTTTTCCTCAGCTGTGCCCAATCCACTGATGACCCTGCCTATCAAAGGCATCTTCATTTCTTTGCCTATGTTTTTTATTGCTGGAATTTCCATTTGTTTCTTCCTTATTGCGTCCATCTCTCTGCTAAATTACCTAGATGATCTTTCTATTAGCCACCTTTTCCACTAGAGCTAGTGTCTGCCTTCATCTGCCCCAGGTAAGTGCTCACAACTCTCCCTGGAAACTCTGTTTTTTCCTTAGTTTTGGTTTAGCTGGCTGTCCTGTAGCCTCAGCTCTCTGATGGACTCAACTTTAAGTTGGGGATTTGCAGTGTTCGGTGTCCCATTTTTATGTTGTAACGGTGGGGCAGTATTCTTTCCAGCTTTCTACATCCTAAGCAAAATCTCAGTTCATGTTCCCCCTGGGTATAGAATTCTTGAGGAAACCCTTAGGGGTTTATAGATGATATGCCATTCTCTTTTTCACTGAATTTTAATATAGGGGAAAATCTTAAAGCCAGCCTAGTACTGTCTCCCTTTTGAATGAACGCTGTTTAAAAACATTTCTAGCTCT